TATTTTTAAAACGTTGATATTAGCTAGCATACTATGAAAATACGTTTTCCTTAGTTTGCATATTTCAGTTGTGAGTATGTTATAATATTATTTATGTAAGATTTAAGGATTGTCTCCTCTTCGAACTGCCTGTTGAGCAAAACATATAATTACTTCGGGAACTCTATACAGGTAGCTGCGATACGAATTTTAAAAGTTTATTCAGTGAAAGTGCTAAATAATAATTAACTTTACTAAAATGATAATTATACGTAATATTAGCGTATTAAGGATTCCAGGCATGAGGCCGATAACCGGCGGCATATTGAACGAAGCGAACGCGTTCGATACAGCGAGACGGTTTGACAAGGATAACGAGAGAGAGACCCAATCTTTCATCATAAATCACGCTTCAGTTTTACACTTGGATAAACGATCTCGGGAAGTCTTACCATTCGCTTGTATTGTATCCATCTTGGTGTCGTACGATGATCAACAGTGAATTATTGCGAGCTTTCTCGTAGTTCTCCGCAATCTATTTCCTCGTGAGACGAATGTATAATGTCTTCGCGGCACCGTGTTGCAGTTCTCACTGAGTTCTCACTGAGTAGTGAAACTACTTCTGCTAATTTCAAAATGCCGGTACAAAAAAGTACCGATAAGAAAGTAAGGGTACTGGGATTTTAATTCAGCGACCACAATCCATAAAAATGGATTCTAAATTACACCCTATATCGATAGAAAATATTTAGAAATGACCGTGTACTACTATGTTATTTCGTGTTTCGAAACGGCAATAGATAAAAACCCGCTACTTGAATGATACTTGTGGAATTCGAAACCTTAGAAGTAGTCGAAAACCAAGGGATTTCCGTGCATCGCGCTGGGTTTCGACAGGCTCACCGTCACCTCATCGGAAACCGCGTCTCGAGCGTGTCTCGAGCGGATCTTCGATAGACGAGCGTCCCTCGATCGCGATCTCGCGGTCGCGCGATCGAGAAAACGACGACGGTGCGCGACGGCGCATCGAACGACACTGCGCTCCCGCGCCGATATATCACGCTGCTGATCGCGTTCTCTTTCCACCAGACCAGTATGTGTGCCTACCGCCACCATCGGCCGAAAGCCGTCTTTTCTTATCGTCATAAGACGTTTGCTTGCCAGTCGATTTGTCAACGATCTAGATCCGCTGTGTGATAGCGCCGAGACAAACTCTTTAAAACCGCATCTAGCCGAAATTCCTTCGCGATTTAAGGTCAATATCAATTGTTACGCGCGCTTTATAAATCAATATCGATCGTAACGCGAAGACAGTTCATTCATGATCATCACCTGAATGGCAAAATTTAAAGAATATTTGCGATCCCGATCTAGACTAGCATTGAAATCAAAATATCTTCGGTTAAAATTATCATTGAACGTTGAATTCATCATGCCGTTATCTTTATTAATTTCATCAAATTAGGCAATCTCTGAATCCAGCTATCCAGATATCTTTTCGACTATCGAAGTTCATTATATTGTTTAAAGAATTTCACGTAAATATTTTCTAATTTTTATCTGCTTATCTTATTAATATATTTGATAAAATCTAACGCAAACGGAAGAAAGTTTCTGATCTACTTATCTAAATGAAAAGTTTTTTTCTAAAATATTTCTAATTTATCTACAGAATGAGAGAAAACATTCCTCAAGTTAAAGCATCGTGAGAGAAATAAAGTAAAGATTAGTAAAACTTGCTTTTGCTGGACGATGACGTAAAAATACAAAAATTCTTATAGTACAAAATAGTTGCAAAGAATAAATGCAAGGAAATATAAAGGATGAGAAGGTACGTGTTAAATGGAAAGAATTTCGAATTTCAAAGAATAAAACGTTATGCATAGCGATATATTTCTAATGATATACGTATAATATTTCTTTAATACGAAAGAGGAAATGAAGAATATCTATGGGATTCGCAAAAATCTCACCGAGAAGGCGTGAATGTTGTTGACCATGATGATCTTTATTCTCTAAGGAGAATAATACAATGCATATGTTGTAGAGGTCGATGTCATATCGAGACTGATATTCAGACCCGAGGGTACCGGTTCACATACTTTTATCGATCGGGATATAAATCTCACTAAAGCGTCACTCCGTGTGCTCAAAATCGAGTAAACGCCCCGATTGTCATGCAGCTATTTAAATAATTAATTAACGCAATAACAATTAAATATATATTAGAATTTTCTCCCATCCCAATCTTTCCACTCTCTCTCACGCACGCTCTTGCGATTTTTCTTTCTAATCTTTAATAGCGACAGATAATTAATTTCAAAATATCGCGGATTTACATTTATTTTTAATTCGTATACCATTTTTTTAAAAAAGTTCTTTTACGATAAGCTACAAAATATACAGGAGATTTTCGTCTTCTCTTGTAAAAGTAATTGTCGTGTAAAAATGTATAAAATCATTATTACGTAATTTTGTAAAAATAATTATCAATAAATATATATCAACAATTAATATCTCACGATCCAATTATCGTTACGTAAATAAATACGTAGAATTAAAATCAGATAGCAGACTAGGTATCCCGAATCGTTCGCTTATCAAAGTATCTATACGCGTCTTTCTACGAATCTCAATCAACTACCGCGATTCTTTTGCGAGCGTGGCGAACGAAGGCGATGGCTTCGCGCAAATGACGAATTCCGCTCTTCTCGACGGGCCTAGAAGTCCTTCTTCTTCTCCTTACCCACCAGGATGTTGTCGTGGTAACTGATCTCTTGCCCAGCAACGGCGGGATGCAGGTAATGCGGCTCCACGTCGATCTTCTCCTTCACATCCGAGTCCAGCACCAGGGAGTGATGCGGCCCGTGATGAAGATGCTGCTGCTGCTGTTGCTGCTGCTGCTGATGCTGATGCTGATGCTCGTGCTCGTGCTGATGCTGATGATGATGCTCGTGCTGGCTCTCCTTGCTCTCCTGGCTGTACTTCTTAATCATCTCCTTTAACTTTTCCAAGTCGGCCTCCTCCCCGTCCTTCGAGAAAAATTCCTTCATACGCGGTTCGTCCTGTTTCTGCGATTCTTTCAGTTTCTTGACGAGTTGGTGGAACCGCTCGTTGGTTTGCGTACCGTTGTACTCTCTCGTCGTATTCTTCGATGCGTTCAGGTTCGGATCCAGCAGCAAATCGGGCGTCTCGTGCGCCACATTCACATTCTTGTCCAAATTCTCCTCCGTCAGGGACTGTAGCAAGGTGTTGTAGTCGGGCTTGATCTTCGAGGTCTCCATGCAGGAACTGCAGGAACAGTTTGTGATGATCTGCACCTTCTTTTGCATAGTCACTGGATTGTTCTGCTCGTCTTTGCAATCCAGCGTAACCTGAGAATACGGAGTAATTTTCCGTAATTCAATATATCAAAGAAACCAAATACTTTACACAGCATTTTTAAAAAACTTGTTAACATGTATATTTATATAATAATTTATTATCAAATTTCTAGCTCGAAAAATTGTAAGAGAACGGAAAGAGAGACGGAAAAAAGTGAAACTGTGTTACAAATTGTGTTGTAATTTTTGAAAATACGATTAATGATAAAATGCAATTTTGTTGTGACCTTATCGATCAATCTTATCGAGTGCATAAAGATTACTAATTGTAAGATAATAAAGATAAGCGCGAAATATTTTTTTGATAAACGCGATAACTATTCTTACATATATATATATATATGAGTAATTTATTGCGAGAAAATGACAGGGAGGAAATCATTTTTAAGGGATAAAACGTTGATTATCAAATCGAGCCTTAAAAAATTTACGATTTTTATATTATATAAACTCACAGTATGCCAAACGCTGTCCAGAGGTTGGCAGGAGTCGCAATAAGGTCTTATGAGATCGCCGGGTGCGGAGGGTTCGCTATGTGGGACCATGTATGAGAAACAAGCCCCGACGCAGACGTTATTGTCCAATTCCTGCGAAGAACACTGAGGCCATGTCACCACCTGCTTTATGGGCGTCGTCTTGCACCAGCTATGCTTATCAGGATACAGCACGATGTTATGGACCTAACAAAAATTTAAATTTTTCATGAGTTTAGTCCAATATTTAAAAAATCAGACTTAAGGTACAAAATTATTGTATATTATTAGATTAACGTACAAAATTATTATTTATTATTGTTTTACAAAAATTCCAAGTAAGATTCGATGATAAAGTGATTGGACAGCTTTAGGATAATGTTAATGAAACAAAGACGAACCTTGTGTTCACGATGAGCACTGAGCAGAGCAGAATGCATCATTAACAAGAGCGTCACCGCGGACAGCCGCCATATCGTCCCCATGATCTCCTAAAACACAATGTGACGAAATTGAATATCCGAAATTTTCCAATTTTTCGTACATCAATACAAAAGACTACGTCTGATTCGTGTATAAGCTCTTATATTATATGATTTAAAATTTATTTTATATATAAGAGTCTTAACAATTAAATTTATCCTTCTTTTTCAATTTAGTCAGACAATGTGAATGAAATAATTAAGACAAAAGATCGATTAATATGATTTTTTTTTCTTTACGATTGAAGATATGAAAAATTCGCGCGACTGCGAAATTATTTTCAGCGTTGAAAATGGAAAGAAAAGAAACAGTTAGTCTTCAGTATAAATTTTAATCTCTTTTATAAATCGACGAAAACACCGCAGCAACAAGCGCGTTAAGCATCTGAAAGATTATTTATCCGAATGGAGATGATAGTCATGTTCGATGTCATCTGAAACCGTTGAGATAGCATGCTATTCAACTCGTGTTTTCGGGTTCAATGACTGACGAGAATTGCATCACACAGATTTATCAGTACGATACTACGCTTTGTTTATTTCTTCTCACTCTTTCGCACTCGTAATATTTACAAACTTTGTTGTAAATCAATATAAGCAAAGCGTTAACGGCAAGGAACACACAACGTACGTGTATATAGATCTAAAAGTCATTTTGAAAGATGTTTAACTACTTGGTTTCTCAAAGTAATTGTGAAATATATATATGAAAGAAAGCATCCGAATAAATTACTTTCGCTACCGAGAGATTAATTAAATGGCTCGCGTGCGACCTCCAAGTATCCGTAAAAAAAGCGCGTTACGAAAGCGATCCGCTCGTTTCGGCGCCAAACGAAGGAACGGGTTCTCGTTATTGGACGGACGGCGCGACGCGTTTCATTCATAGATCGTTAAGGCCTGATCCCCGATCTCAATGTGGCATGCTCGAATTTTAACTTTCCGAGATTTCGAGATAAAGGAAGTTCGTGTTTCTCCACTGACGGAGCTTGGCGCAGAGGCGAGGAGGGAATTCGTCGTGGATGTCCCCGTCATAAATAGCGGCGGATTTAAGGCACCGTGCCATGGGAACACGATGCACTCTTCTTCCGGCGACGTATATATTTTTTTTAAGTCAGGGGATATGTGGCGCCTGAAAGATATAAGATAGAAGAACGTGGTCTCCATTTAAATAAGTACAACGAAATAGAAACAATGAAGATCAAAGTTGCGCAAATAAAAAGAATTTGCTGATGTAAAAGAAAAGTGGAAGAAAATTTATATACATCTTTATAAAACTTGTTTTCCTTGCTCAAGTTAAATATAAAAATTATATAAATAATGGTAATCGTAAAATATCGCGAGAAAGAATAAATAAAAATAACAATGTGATAAAATCTGTACGTAAAAAATACGTTTAGATTTGAATGTATAAACGTTTATCTATCTAATACTGAAAAAGTGTTTCAGACTTTAAATACACTTGTTATGAATCGTCTCGATTTATTAAGGGTTAAATCTTCCGCGAATCAACGACAACGACACTGATACGAATGTCGAACCAGGAGGACGCGGTTCCAATTACGTGGTTTGTTTTTTCGGCTGCACCGAAAAAAAAAGAAGCACCGAAACTGAGAGATCCCGCGATGTTGCATAGGTACTTCGTGCCCGTCCGCCGAAGGATTCACGTCCACGTCGAGAGACTCGCGAGCTGAATTCCTGACAACGGCAAGAATCTTGTCCCTCGCCGGACAATTGGTCGCCGGTATTTCCAGAGAGAGGATCGATTTTTCGTCTCTTCGCCCGTCTTGCCCACGGATGCATTTCGATTTCTCGTGGATCCCTATCCCTCACACCGCCTCTCTTCGTCGCCTCATTTTCTGTTTCGTTCTCCTCCGTCTCCTTTTCCTCCTACTCCACGACTTCCACTATACCCATCCAGTCTTATGAACGCGTTCGATTCACGGGAAGGATCTTTTTCTTCGTTCCGCAACGCAACCCTTCGTCCTCCTTTATTCTCACGTAGAATCTCTTCGATCTTCCGTTTTTTATTTCAAGTTCTAAGAACCGCGGTGTGCAGTCAGGGCTGCAGGCCGATTTCGTGAATTTGAAAGAAACCGGCCGATTGGAATATCAGAAATAATCGAAAAGGTGTGCAAAACAGCGTGTAGCTATTTCAACGTCTTTTTATAGTTGACGACATACGATTATTATTAAACGAGACAGTTGATTGATTTCTTTCTTTCTCTCGATAATACTATTGAATTTGTCGTATCTCAAGGATAAATCTTATCCTTGGTTTCGGGGCTTTGTTTACAGGACGCAACTTGAGAAATCCGGAGAAACGTATCGCATTTCAAAAATTAGGTCTCTTGAGTAATTCTTGTTGAATCACCCTGTATGCTTCGAAGCCGCAGAGGTGTGGGGCAACACGGCGCGGCCGCCCGTCTCATTTCTACGAGCGGAGATTTGAATGACCGAATAGGATGCAGCAGGGACGTACTCGAATAAGACGACAACTAACAACGGTCATCGGCATCTTCGAGATGCAACGTTTTCAAACCTACAAGATCGTCATTATCTTTAGATTTAGAAACAAACATTTTGGAAATAAATTCACATAAAATACAAAAATATATATATGATAAAATCGACATATACGCCAAAATGAAATTAGCTTCCCGACGTTCCTCGCTAGTAAAATTAAATTTCATATCATTCTGTGTTAAATATTAACTTTAATTCATAATTAATTCATAATTCCACTATTCTTACACTTTGCATTATTGATTAATATTTTTCAGAGTTATAGTTGACAATATTATATAATATAATAATAATTAATTAAGTGTTCTTTTATGTATTTATTTATGTTTAGCTAGAAAGTACGTTTAAATAATAAATCCAATTACGTAGATTATTATTATTTAATCGACGTTGGTAATAATAATTCGGAAGTAGTCTTCTGTTTCTTCCTTCTTTATATCCTTTACAAATTTGCATATTATCACGCTCTGCGTTATATTAAATGGTTTTAAATTTAAAATATGAATATACACTTGAACTTCTCTACTCCACAACGTAGAATGGCTACGGCCCTGCAATGACCACAGCCAGAAGTCCAAAGCTCTTTGTTGCTGCGCCACCTTCTCTTCTCGCCTCTGGGTCCGTGTCGGTGGCACGGAGGACCTCCGGCCCACCTCCTTCTTCGCCTCCATCTCGGTCCCGTGCCTTCGATTTGCTCGTGTCCTCGAGATACCAAGAGAAGATGAAGAGAGCAAGAGCAAGAGAAAGAAAAGAGAGAGAGAGAGAGAGAGAGAGAGAGAGTGAGAGAGAGATACACCGGCGGGAGGGAGCGGAGAGGCAGTAGGATAGAAGCGAAGAAAGAAGGATGAAACGAGAGAAAGGGTCTTGCGCCCAGCCGCGAGATTAATTTGATTTTCAAGCAAATTTGACGCGCCCCCGAGCCTAGGCGGTGCCGGCACAAAGAGCGCCGCGCCTGTCCGCCCATGTGTGTACCCCATCGAAATCCCCGACGATTTTCCATCGATCCCCTCTTGATATCGTTGATCTCTCTTCATCTATTCTACGTCGACAGCGCATCGCTCGACGAGATGGCGCGTTCGTTATAAAAGCGCGATGCGTATCACGAGCGTTTTAGCGTTAGATATTAGATCGTCAAGAAACTCTGAGACATCAAGACAGCGTGGTATTTAGCTATACATATCGATGATGTCAGCCAACAAGGAAGCCAACGCAGTTGCTTTCACGCTTTATAATGATACTAAAGATTTTTAACAAAAACAATATTGCGTAATATTTATTTATTTTTTAATAATTCTTTTCTAACAATTACGTGGAAAGTAAATTAAGAAGAAATAGGCATTATGTTTTTATCATAAAAATGCACACGGCATTCACTATAATTAACTGCGTATTCCACGGCTTAGTATCGAAGAACAGAAGCAGAAGAGAAGAAAGAAGAAATTTACATTTGTCAGCGAAAAGTACGTATTGCGCGGTCGTACGCTCTCGCATGCCGATCAAAACCATACTAGTATTTCCTGTACGATCAATTCCCTCTCCGCGTAACTCGACCACCTTCGCCAGCATTCTCTCGTCGGCAACCGTAAGCGACGTAGATCGCGCGCGTACATAATCCTGGCGCGCGTGATCGCGCGGTTGCTCACCGTCGTAATAGCATATCGCGCTGTTTTTCTCGCAATAAAAATTCCGCGCCCAGCGGAAGAAAATAATATTTATTCCCGCTTCTTCTGCAGTGCCGAAGCTGTATGCGCGTCGATCAACCCGCGGCCCGTGTATAATATTCTTCGCCGGGACAGAAGGAGATCCGGTCGTCCCGAAGTTCAATCTCCCGAACTTAATGATCCGGTGCGCATGGCCCGAGCGATCCGGAGATGACGGCGAGTGATATATCTATAATTAGGTGTCTCGGGCTTTAATCTCCCATTGGTTTTAATGAAAATCTCCACCCCCCGTTTTGACATACCCTAATTTTACATTTCGTTGGGACGCCGGCGTGACTTTTTTTTCTCTCCTTCCTATTTTTCTTCTCTCTCTCTTTCTTTTTTTACTCTTTAAGATATTGGGGTACCGTGGGCGAACTAATAGATGGCCCGGGGGTACAGAGTGAGCTTGAAGAATAGAGAAGGAGTAAGGAAATAAAAGAGGAGTTGCGCGAGAGGGGTGCGGATCGCGCGAGAATATCCGGCCGAAGAGAGAAAGAGATGGCAGAGGGGCCCGCAGGGTACGCGAGGGAGAACCAGGAACGAGGTGGGCACGAGGGAGACGGACGGCGCCGAAAAAAGGAGTTTGCCAACAGCGCTGGGGGATGCCCCGAAAACACGCTGAACGTGTGGCGCCATTTCGGCTCCTTTTTTTCCTCTATCTTCTTCGTCGTCGCTGATCCCTCCGCGCGGGTTCCTCGTGCTTTTGTTTCTTCGCCCATACTAATTCTTCGCGGGCTGCACGGCGTGCCCCGGTACGCGTGTGGGGAACGAACTGGTGCCCGTGAGAAGGGGGACAGGGGGATGGGGAGACGAGTCAGGCGGAAGAGGACTTACACGAGCTTCGCTTCGTTCCGTGATAAAGTAGCTTCCACTCGTGATAAAGTAGCTCGCGTTTGAAGTGTGTCTCGATTTTCCTTTTACCTTACTTCTCTTTCGCGAAAAGATCGCAATGTATTTCTTACGAGAAAGAATCTGAAGGAAGTCTGCTGCTCCAATTGAAACACTCGTCGTTTTCCTTTTATAGATCGAATTCTATTTAACGTGCATTTTCGCGAAAGATACGTTTGCTATAAAACACTTGGTGAGCTTGTTCTTGTTTCGCACCCGAGCTCCAGCTTTTCGTTGAATTTGTTGTTGTGTGAAGGAGGAAACGAAGGTGTGGAGGTGGTAGCTGGCAACGAGGTGGCCCCGCGTACGCGCAGCACACGCGACTCGTGTGCGCGATACCGTAGGGGCCTCCCTCGGCACGGTGTGGTGGCCCCCGTGAGCGTGGACCACATACCTGCAAACGAATGCTCTTAAAAGGGAGGGCAGAGCCAAAGAACAGGTCGTTAAAATGTAATGACATTGTTGTTTTTAATGCTCGCCTCTTTAAAACGGTCCCTTTCGTCTTCCTCGAGCCTGCCAGCTACTTCTGGCGCTACCAGCCCCCTCCCCCACAACCCGTTTTGCCCGCCCGGCCAAAACCCCTTTAGCACTTCTTCCTCCTTTCCTTGTTTACGTAAAAGACAAGGAGAAGCTAATTGCGAATTGTCTGTCCTTTTCCTATCGGCGTTGTTGCTCAGAAGTATACAGTTATATGCTTTATCGATTTTTCTGCGAAAGCATTTTTTGAGTTTCTCACGCTCAGAGACAATCGCAATAAAGATACATGTATATAATTATAAGACAATTGCGATAACGGTTTCTAAAGAAAGAAACAGAATAAAAACAAGATTTGAAGAAGAGAAGCAGATGCGTTAAACAATATTTCTACACAACAGTCTTTCTCGTAATTTTCTGTTGGAAGATTTAATCATAGTTTCAGCTAAGATTTTTATTTGATGCTAAAATGAAGACGTACAAGAGAGGATACATTTTCACGCATTTATTCGTGAGAGATACAACGCTCGACAATCAACCGATGCCGATTCGGAGTCTCGAAGCGTCAATATTCTCACCTTGTCGGACACCTATAAGACCGACCAATTAAGTCGGACGGTAGCTGCGGCGCTGTGGACCAATCGTGGACAGTCTCCGTTAGAAAGGAACCGATTACGGGTTCGCTACCGCGCAACAGTTTAGCTTGGAACTTAACTGTTGCGTCTAAGAAGAGCTATCATTAAGTCCGGAATAGGGGTCCGGGCATTAGGATTAGTGGCCGAAAACGTTTTGGATAGGCTTCTGTATCGCTCGGAGCTCGTCCCCGGGTCTCCTCGCCCACGGGAGGAGAACCGCGATCATCGTAATTCGATCAGCTGGTGTTGGGTTGCCCGTTCGTCGAAGCGCGGAGGTACCTATGCAGAGATTGTACCGTGCTCTCGAAACGTATACGCGTCAGCACGAAGAAAGAAAGCGCAAACTTACGGAAGATTCTATGGCAGATCGTATACTCGGCCCGTATCCGAGAGATTCTATTCGCTCTGTTGTTAACAATATAGACTCGCGCGCCGGGAAGCTCTCAGTTTTTAAAATTCCCTCGTCGCTATATTCAGAATTCCGGAGCGATGAGAGTGCGTCTATCGTCGCGTGCACATGCGTATCGGGCGTCGTCGGCGCGAGAGCATTCGCTTGTATGTATATATATGCATACGCATGCGGAACGTACACGCATTCGTGTATATATACACATACGCAAAGGGAACACAGATGCACATGCACACAAATATCGCGCGAACGAATATGCGCTTCGAATTTCGCAAGAGACAGACGGACTCTCGCTGAACGCGCGCGCGGACTCGAGACTTTCCGAGAGTCAGCGATTTTTTCGGAGCAGCTGGAGTCGCGCAGCAGCCCGACGAGAGGAGACGTCTGTCTCAGAATACATAACGCGAGTTGAGCTCGCTCGAAGCCGGAGATGCTCGGCGTCGCGATCTGACTTCAAAGTGCGCCAGCGAGGAACCCGGGAAACCTTGGCTTTCCCTCAGAGGGAACTGTCACTCACCTCCTCCGGTGTACACGTCACCTTCGTCGCCGCTGTTTCGCGTCCGCGAACTGCGCACCAACACGCCCGCCGGTCTCTTCGCGCGAGCAACAGGTATTCTAGTCGCCGCGACTCGGGCGACTACAGAATCTCGCGTCTCTCCGCGACGCGGACGGAGAAAGGAAGAGAGAAATTGCAACTCCTCCGGAGACTCTCGTGTCTGGTGAACCGCGCGCGCGGGACCGCTCGAGGGAGTGCGTACGAGCACTTCGACCTTTTCGAGTACTTGGTGGCTTTCCGATACTACAAAGCTGAGAGAGCCGAACCGAGCTAAGCTGAACACGAAACTGTGCTGCCGATCTCTCGTGTTCCGTTCTCCTCCTCCTCCCCCCGCGCTTGCCCGCCGCCTCCTTCTCTTCTCTTCTTCCTCCACCTCCACCACCGGGTTCTCTCCTTCAGCTCCTCCTTCTACTCGCGGTACGCGTTCGGTTCCCGTTCCGCGCCGCGTTCCCGTTCCGTTCTCCCTCTTCGTCGATCTCGCGCCGCGGCATCGACGTTCACCGCAGGTGCGACGGAGCCAGGAGAAAGGACGACGGCGAGGGGCCCCGGCGAGGCGAATGCGAGGAGGGGAAGAGATCAACCGTGAGCAAGGGAAAGAGATCTCCTCGGCTACCACCTCTCTACAAAACGCGTCGCGCGTACTGTAAAAAGCATATCGCCCGAGGCGTTATATCGCGAACCAGTAAAACTTGTCGTATACGCCGACATCGCGCGCGCTCATCGATCGTAGCCGAGAGAGAAAGAGAGAGAGAGACCGAGCCTGCGATTGTCGGACTCGCAGGCGACGCGCGGCGCGAAGGTGACGAAGAGGAGGATTCAGGGATGGCGAGCCGGACGCCGCGACGCGCGCCTCCGCCGACGTTAACGAGATCACTAGGGCTCGCCGCTGGTCCGCAAGAATTCGGAGCCGGGCCAAGCTGGAAGCTGCCCTCCCTCTCCTTCTCTCGCGGTCTCTCGTGATCTTAGCCCTCGATTCCCCCGAGCAGCCATCAAGCTTCTCGAAGTTTAATATATATATACACGGTATTTTTACGATATTTTTTAAATTTACAAATGTATCTTATCATGCCAGGTACGCACAAGAATCCTACGAATAAAATAAATGTGCCGACTTTAAATCGTGAGAAATTAAATCACGAATTAATAGTCAATTAAACAAAAAAAAAATTTGTACTGGAGACAGTGCAATTGCTCTCAAGCTTGGCGTTATTCCGCCGCTTAGAGCCGTTTGATCTGCCTTATCGCTGGTCCCAGAGTATCTCTCACGTACTGCAGCAGATCCTTGCACTTCTGTTCCGTATTCGTGTCTTCAGAACTACCCCAAATGATCAGACCGTTGGCGCCGAGGCTGGCGATCGTGTCGAACGCGTTCTCCGTATCTTTCTGCATATAGATAAATTCTCAGAACATCGACACCAATGTTTCGGCAAACATTTCAAGGAGCTCGAAAGTACTCACCTTAGTCAAGAAGTTATTTCTGCGATCCTGATACTTGAACCAGTAATAGGGGAGAATTTGTTGTTTGCGCGGACTTCTTTCTGCCATGCGTAGAGCCTCCGACACCCTGCCCTTCACGTAGCCCACCCGATCATGCTCCTTGATCTCCTGCCGCAAGTACACGGAAGGCAAGTGCGCGTCTTCGGGCGTGAAAAGCCAAGACATTCTACGGAAATTATTACCTGCGATTAGCTCCGACATTGCGGACGCTCGCGGCCGCCTCTTTAACGCCCGCGCTCCGCGCGCGCGATTAGATAGCGCGCCGGTAACGAAACGCTGCAGGTTGTTTTTTAACACCCCGCTATCCTCGACATTGACCTATTTTGATATGAACATCGTAATCTTAATACGAGATCCACAACCGCCTTCGTATCCGGGGTGATGTCATTATCGTAAATCAGCCGGCTGAACTAAACACTATATACGCTCGTAAATTCTTTTCCACCCGCGGTGGCGAAGCGATAAGCACGACCCCCGATGTCAAGCCGCGAAGATCGGGAGATCATCTCGTGATTAGTGCACTCCGTGCAAAGTGTAACGACGCGGTTACACATATACGTTACTATAAAATTACACGCACGCTATCGGATGTTGGATTATTGATCCTCGTCGGAAGTATTACTCACCCGTCGTTTTCTGCCATAGCCTGACGATTGCAGTGCACGGTGGGCTGGCCGGGAGACTGATTGAAGCAATGCGGATAACCGTAGTAGCCCCATGTGGCTTTAGGTCGAAGCTTCTTCGCCATATTCAAGGTCTCCTCCATGAATACTCGGGCGTATTTTTCAAAGCGACGCTTTGCTTCCTTTTTTATGGCATTGTCGATCCAAAAGGGATGCCTCTCACGTTCCAGCTTTATGGATAGGGTTTTGTAGGGCTCGAGAGAGGCCCAATTTTGCCGGAAGATCGGCCGCCAGCTCTCGAAGTCTATTACGCCGACACCGCTAAACGACCCGTCTGGGATTTGCTTGATCAAATGCTTCCGGAACATCTCGAGGTGTTCCTTGAGATCACCCTCTTGAGGAACGCCGCCGTTTCTTTTTGTTACGACTCCTGAAAATATAAAGGATAATTAAATCGGTGATCGAAATAACGAAAAAATTCTGAAAATGTTTAAAAAATATTTAAAAAGTATCTGATTAGGATTATTGAGATATTTAAAAAATAATTCAAAACCCTGTTTTTTGTAGATTTTTGTAAATAATTTTATTTAGCGATAAAATACACTTTTAAGTTACCATTTTTATCGGTCAATAACGCCGGAAACATTCCAGGATCATAAAGGATCGCGATCTCTTCACCGCGAAATTTATCCATCGTGTTTTGTCGAATTCCAAAATTCTTGAGCTCATCGAATACCACATTGTATTTATTGCACATAAAACTGGGCACGTTCCAATAAACGTCGAATTGCCGCGGGTTGCCTGTTCCGGGGGTCGTTGTGCCGAAGCTGGAGAAAAACACGAGGTGATTCGTAAGCGTGGACAATGACACCCATTAGATAAGATATTTTCGGTCCACCGGAACCTCTTGGACGCCTCGCGTTTATATTAGGATCTTTAAAATTAGATTAGCGATATCGTACTAATAACTATGTAGCAATATATTTATAGTCTAAAAAGACGCGACAGATCATTTAAAAATGTAAATGTTTATGCAATTTACTTGCAAAAATATGAGTGAATTTAATACATATTTCAATATCGAATTATTAAATGATTCAAAATTATAGTCAAAGAAATTTATGTCTGGTAGATACCAACGAAGGACGACAAATTGCTTGAAAACTGATAAAACTAAAATACACTCAATTATATATCTATATATAACGGATATGCAAAAAGGTCACGAAGACGATAATTACTTGAAAGTGAACAAAACTAAACAATTTGCGAATTTCACGATTTTTCAGAGGGTAGAGAAATATGATGCTCTTCAAACGAAAAAAGATACCCGAAAAAAGTAGCGCCCGCGACGGATGCGAAGGCAAAGATCAGAGAGTATCGCATTGGAAACATCGTGGTAGCCTTTGGTCCGCGTTTGGACGATGAAGTTTCGCGAAGTACAACAGACTTCGGTGGTAAACGATCCACTGGTTGGTTGTTTACAAACTGAATTACAAACTGACGTTCGAACGTTCTCGGGAGAGTCGCGGCACCGGGGCGGCACTAATTAATAATATTGGTAAGGTGGTGCCAAACAAAATTGGGGTCCGCGCGAGAACGGGGTCCCTTCCACAGTGATATCAGACGTTTACGTCGTTAGTACACGAGGTTTGCGACTGAATTCCGCTCGATTTCAGGCCAGTATTTATTCCACATCGTGTGTCTCATGTTTCCCCACCTACTCCTGCTCGTCCGCGCCTCGTAGTGTTATCTGGCTCCGGGTATTGTTCGACGATTTGACGTTTCCGCTTTTTGCACAAATCCCTTCTCCCCCTTTGTCTTTCCCCCCTTTTCTCGCTCATTATTATACCGCAGTACAAAGGGCGCGTGTGCGCGTAACTATTGCGCTCGATGAGCATCTCTATCGACATTACCATTAACACGACCCGAGATCGATACCAGCATGGTCAGGAATTTCCTGGATGACGAAACACGATGTATTCTCTCACGAAAAAAAAAACATTCTCTCTCTCTCTCTCTCTATCTGTCTCTTTCTTTTTGTTCCCATGATGAAAAACTTTCCGTCACTTTAAAGCGATCAGGGTTAACAAGTGATCATGAGATCTACTCAGCTACCTCCCACAAGAGGAATTTCTTCGAGGTTCTTACTGTCGCAAGAGAAATATTTTACCGTAAGAGCATTGGCAATGAGAAAAGTGTAACATTAATAAATAATATGTGCTAAAAGAGAGGCGAGAGAGAGAGAGAGAGAGAGAGAGAAAAAAGAGAGAGAGAGGGAGAGAGACTATTTCTAGATATTTATTGTTATGATATAAATATTTGATGTATAATATAAAAATATCGTACTTTTATCGTTATCGGAAACAATTCCGGTATATCGTAAACATTTTATGGAAAACGTGACTTCGTGAAAAATTGATAAAACTGCATTTCTTTTTTATATCATAACAATTTGCTTTTAATATTTGCGGCATTAACTAAAACAACAATAGATAAAAATCTAATATATATACATAAATTGCAAGAATACCATACTTGAATTAGTGATTCCCAAATGGAAATATTCGGATAAATATCCGTGTACACATACGAAGAGTTAATTATCTCATTCAAATATTATTATGTTATTTAGCCTATTATAGATATTATTTACGCGACATTCAGCATAGGAAAATATCGATAAAGATATGACAATTTTGTCAAACGATATATCTAGTTATTATTGGCTTCCTCGTAAGAAAACCACGTCACGTTTGCAGGTATTACAGCAAGCCCCCATTTAATTGTATCCCTGACTCAGTTTTTTCTGACCGTCGTTTAGCCCCGTTGCATTAACTATAAGGGCCGACATTTGTATCAGTTAATTTTAATATGAATTTGAATATATTTAGATGCAAATTTTGCGCTGCTAGAAAAAAAAAAGCGGCTGTAAACAAGCAATAGTTAGGCTCGGCCCATATCGTTCGATCGACCGTTTGTATAATATGTTCATTCAAGGTGGAACGCGGCATCCCGGTGTCCTCCTGTCTGCTCAACGTCATTGATCGATCGTTTTGTACATACGACGGGACTACAAACTTATCGAAGGCCCGTCGTTACTCGGACGTCACCTCCCTATCTAAAAGCAAAATGTAAATTTTAACCGGTTAATCGCTACGGGCACATCACCGGGTTTTCTCTCTTATCTTCGGAGAGACCTTGCGCGTCGGCCGTGCGCTAAGATAATGAGACGATTTAACTCGCGATGTTCACGATAATGATAAAAAAGGATACTGTTGCGCGATCTTTATGCCTTGAGGCACATGAAACGAGGAAATAATTTTTTATATTTTTTTTTACTCGAAAAAATAGAAAATATATATTCGTGTGACGTAATTTTTCTACGAGTCCATGCAAACTTCACTTCAGGATAAAACTTCTTTCGTCAGGATCGCGTTGGATAATTTTCTAAAAAAGCAGAATTCTTTCTTTAACAAAATAATCAATTTCTTGAAAACTCGAAGAACTATATATTTGATGTTGTAATCAAATGGATGTTTTTTCTTTTTTGATACTGCTCGAAACTGGTTTCTTTACTCGTATTTCGTGTCTTGCATATCTAATCGGAACTAGAAATCCTGGGTTATGTAACTCTGAGGTCTCCGAGTTCTAAAGCCGTTATATAGGTTGCTAATAATTGACAGTGTGAAAAATGCTGTCACAGAATACAAATCACTTATTCATTCATGTGGATATGGATGCGTGAAATGAATGGGGACAAGATAAAAATTAGAAATAGCTAGAGAAAGTGAAAAGCAATTATTTTCAATAAATTTTATTTTCAACTCGTCTGTCACTTACTCTCCGGCATAAGTCGTCTAATTAGCCGAGAAGGAAAGAAAAATAACGGATAGAGTTATCTGGCGTCTAAAGGCTTATACATGATGGAAAATCGAAAATTCTCAAATAATTACGGGATGGCTTCCCGCATAATTGCTATTAATTGTGTAATGCTTATCTACATTTGCTCGAGTTACGCAAATATATATATAATAATATATACACGTGCGCTGTACAATGCACAATTTTTTTTTATAGTAATCCCGATCGTGTATAATTCAATCTAGAATCTTCAAGAGGCGCCAATGATGAAAACAAGAGCGATTTTCGAGGAATCGAGTTATCCGTTGGATTGCCGATTTTACGAGATGTCTCAGATTCCCTTCGACCACCGCAATTACGTTTAAATACTCCTATTGGTAAGAAAGATTAAGGTTGCCCTTATCCCTGGCTAACAAGGGTCATTTTTATTGCGCTGCTATATGTCCCTTGTTCGCTCATACTTAATTGTTATTTCTTGATCTCTCGCGAGACCGCACATGCAAAAGATGTCATCTCTCTCGCTCTCTCTCTAAACAGCGATTTTTTTTTAACTAGAAGTCTACTGGAGCACAAGTCCGATCTTGCCAGGTGTCATACTGGGACAACGCCAATTATATAGATAGTATTGAAGATTGCCATCACCAATACCGAATTTGAGGGGTTCCAGAAACTCCTTGTTGTCCATGAGATCCAGTGCGTTAAACACGTCAAAACCCAACTGCAAATGAAGATCACACGTTACGTTTGGTTTCCGTTTTGAAAAGTGTACGGTAGATGCACAAAAAATAAACTTACGTCGCGCGCGGATATTAAGGCATCCATCATTAATTCGAGCCACGGTGTTGTGGTAGACACATTGTAAAAACTATACGCAGCCTTGAGGGTCTTGTGTGTCTGATGATGCATAACGGAGCTCGGCAATGTGTAATAGCTCACCATATCGGTGATTTTACCTTCTTTCTCCACAACGAAGCTGTTAATGATGCCATTTTGCGGCAGAAACCAATGTTCGAACTCTTCGACGGAGAATACCGGAGCGAGATCGAACTTCTCCAGATACTGTAAAATACGGATATGAATGTTGAAGATCGATATTACGCTGTCGAATGTGCCGAAAAGTTCTAAGGCTTTACACACTTACCTCCGTCAATATTTTATGCGCTTGTGGTATGTCTTGGTAAACCAACTTTCTGAAACCCGGTACTTTTGTATTCTCTGGCAGTTTGTATAGCTTTAAAGTCCTCTGCATCGTCATGTTGCGAGTGAGATGGGAGAACTTGATGTCGATTAACTTCTTTGGATTTAACGATCGATGCCAATACCTAATATACATGTGTCAAGTAATTTAGTTAGCTTGGTTGCAATGAATTCTCGTATGTACTTCTCTAATGCTGACCTGCATGTCGCGATAGGTTTTGGTAAAACGACACCGGCAGTGTACACAGCCTGAAAGATGCTCTTGAGATTCACTCGCCTCGTGATTTCGCGTATCAATACAGGCGCTACTCTCTTCGATCTCAACTTTTTGTGCACACACAGAAAATTGATCTCCACCATTTTCTGAGAACTGAAAATATTTTTAAAACATTACGTTGCGAAATGAGGGGGGAGGAGGGGGCAATCGAGCGAAAGAGTACGATTTACTTACTGATTGTAGACGCGTAAAGTGGCTGGAATAGCGGAGATAAAACCGACTAGACGTCCGCTCTTGCTCACTCGCACACCGCAATGCCATTCTTTGCACCAGCCAGGCGGCTGCAGCGCCCATTTCAAAAAGTTGGGAGGATAATCAAATCTGAACATTGCGTCGTCGTCCTCGACGTAATTCTCCGAGAGTAATGTGTACAGTTCCGACAACACCAGAGGATCGTCTAGGTTCAAAGTATCCCATTGAAAATCGGCAGGTAGCGAATACGGCTCCTCTCGAATAGCTGTCTTGTCAGGCTCAATTGGCTCGTTACGCACAATTTTTTCATCTGGAAACCAGTAACACGAGTTTAGAAAAACAGCAATAACACATAAAATTGCCCACGCGATGAGTTTGATAGCTTACCCATTTTTGGTACAGGCTGAGTACTCCAAAATTGATAAGGCTTTTGCATTGCTTCCTCCTGAGTTTTGGCAGGTTTTTGTTGCATATTGAATACCTCCATTGCCATCTGAATATCCTTTATAGAGATATTGCACGCGCTAGGCATCTCTTTCTCCTCCGTGTTATTGTTGTGGTTTTCGCTAGCTGCGTGCGCCGCTTCTTTCTTTTTTTTCCGAGCCTCTCTCTTCTTGGAGCTGCAACAAAGTAGCGAGTTTCTTAACGTAATGTAAACAACGGTCAATGCTAAAGAATACATTTAATAACTTCAGCGAGATTCAATCACGATACTGTGTATATAACAAAAATATGAAACTCTGTATAATGAATAATTGCAAAAGAAAAAAAGAGAAAAACACAAAATTCAGTTTCATTTATTTGCATGTGTACAAAAATAGTGATTAAAAAATAAGTAATTAAGCACAAGACTGCAGTTCCCTGCAGTAGTGTTTAGGTGTTTGACGATGAAACAAATTATATCCTCAATGACATGCTTACACGCCACTGACGGGAGCGAGTGGCGTGTAAACGAAGGGATCGCTCCGAACGGACATCCGATCAAGAAGGGCCCGGCGTCGAGAGAGAAACGCGATCGGGAGAAGATCACCCGGGGAGGGGAGGGGGGGGGGAGACCGGCGGAGAAATTACGCGGCGCGAATTCCGTCCACCGGGTGATTTCGTCGAGCGAATATAGGTTAAGAACGGGGCGGCGAAGTGCGGGGCGCGAGGCCGCGAATCGCGCCGTAAACGCGATCTTCCCCCGGGGCGGACCGGGGCGCTCGTTCGCGGCGTACCTCTTGTTCCGCGCGTCTTTCTCGTGGCCCTCATCCTTCTTGGCGTCTCGCTCCGCGGCCTGACTCTTCTCCTCCATTTTATAATTATATAGATTGATATAGATTTTCGTCGCGCGTACAGTGACGCTGCTGGAAAACGTATCCAGATGGAGGGACCATTTCCGCGCACGCGCGATGACGCATGCATTAGCAGACCGCGATCGCCCGCGTTCGGCGTCATAAAATTAGATCACTCGCTGCTGTCAATTTAAAAAAAAACAATCTGAAACAAATCAAGACATTTCGCGAGGAGCATAAAGATTCGCTCCCTCCGTCTCGCTCTTTCCCTAAAAGGGACTAATCGAGTTGTAATGTCAATGCTGATCCAATTGCTTATTTCACTTCTCGGAACGTGCGTATAAATTGAAATACCGCATATTAGATCGCGTTCGTCCAATTGAAAATTTGAAACGCATACAATTCGATTGATCGGTGAACATGCGAGTATTGCAGTTGGCATAATGTATATGTTGATCACGTAGCGACGGTTTGTGTTGGTAATACAGGATCCGCCATATCGCAGGTCGATATATACGTGCTGCGCGCAAGTTTATCGCTGCACAAATCGGTCCACGAATTTACGGTAATTTAATTCTCCCTCGAATTTGTGTGCATTACAATTCAACGCGCTGTAAACTACCAACGTTTTCGCCACGAGCGACGGCACGGACGATTAACGCGTATTCATTAATTATTTCCGCCAACGTTAACTTTCGTACAAAACCTGCAATATCGCGAGTGCATTCGAATATCGGCCGAGCGAGGCTAACGCGAGTGATGAGCGACACGCGCATGCGCGGCATACTTCGCGCGGATCGCGCCGGCTACGTTCGTCGCGAAATCGCGTTCCGCGTTAATCGCGATCTTTGCCCGGGAAAAAAGTGCGTTTCGCGCGCTGGTCTACGTCGAGAGTATCGTGTACGACGCGAGGCGTCGTCGGGACGTGCGATTCCGATTCGGGCGAGCGCGATTAACCGCGCTTCCGCGCGATCGCAAGTCCGTCGTGCCGTTCGCGTCCGATTCTCCGCCGCGCCATATTGCCGTCTCTCTCACACACACACAGGACGCCGCGCGTCCCGTCCCGCGATCGAATCGAGATCGATCGCACGGATTCACGGCAATGCCCGCAAAGCGTCGAATAGAGCGATCGAACACGGCCAATCGCCGCGGTTTATTAAGGTAATTAAGGTAATTCGGACATTTCGGTATCTGTACGACATCGAGACGCCTTACGCTCGCGTCCCCCGCGTCTCCCGCGTCCCCGGCCATGTTTAACCAAAAGCAGCGTCGCCGCGTCATTATATACGCAGTACATTTTGCGTCGGTAGTACAAATATGAATTTTTTCTTTAAGCGAATCTCACGCGATTGCGACTAAATTTTCGACGAAAATAAGCATGTAGCATTGATGATATAAAAAAAAATGTTGAACAATTATCGCGATAGTACTATGCAATAATACAATATATATTTTGTCATTCGATTATTAATGCGTTAATTCTGTCAAGTACTCTTAGAGAAATTTATAATAGTCTAAATATTAAATTAATAATTAATGATTAATTATTTATTTTGAGCTATTAAAAGCGCTAACAATAGTGATTTTAGTTCTCAAAATAAGTAATTAATCATTAATTATTTATTTAATATTTAGAAATTTATAATTGTATAAATATTAAATTAATAATTAATTATTTATTTTGAGTTATTAGAAGCACTAACAATAGTGATTTTAATACTCAAAATAAGTAATCATTAATTATTAATTTAATATTTAGATTATTATAAATTTCTTTAAGAGTACTTGTATAATAAAAAATCACTAAATAATTTTTAATACTTACACGAGTTACTCTTAGAAAATTTAATATTGACAAGTATTAAATTGATTAATTACATATTTTGAGTATTAAAAGCGCTATTATTAGTGTTTTAATATTCAAAATAAGTAATAAACCATTAACTAATTTAATATTTATAATATTAAATTTTTCTAACGACAACTTTCATGCAGTAGCAAATAAAAATAAATTCTGTGTATAAATATAGAGTAATGCGACAGTTCCGTCAAATGACTTCCGTGCAATCGTAGTATCATTTGTCAAATTTCAAGTTGATTATGTGCACGAGTTAATCAAAATGCATAGTAATAGATAGTAATTACGATATTCTATTTTGGCCGTAATTACTGCTTAATTTGTAAATTAAAAGTACGAAATAGCTGTAATTGATATTGCGATTGTTGCGTTTATAAAATTATATATGCATGAATTAATCAAAATACAAGATAGTAATTAACAGTGATTGCGATATTCTATATTGGCCACAATCACTGTTTTGTATATTAGAAGTATGAAATAGCTGTAGTTGATGGTACGGTTGTTGTGTCTATAAAATTATGTGTGCACGAGTTAATTCGAAATGCGCGGTAGAAATTAACAGTGGTCGCGATATTCTGTGTTGGCCGCGATCACCATATATGTGCATGTTTTTGTAGCGCAAAATAGTTAATGTCACAGTCAATATTTCTATAATATTATACGCATGAATTAATTGAAAACACGGTAGTAATTGATAACTTTAATATTGTGTAGTGCTAATACATAGATATAAAAATTAGTTGATGATGTAGTCATTATGTTTAAAAAATAACATATGCATGTTAGATCGAAGTATGCGCAGTGATCGCGATATTCTGTGTTGGCCGCGATCACCATACATTTGCATGTTTTTGTAGTGTAAAATAATTAATGTCGATGTTTCTATAATATTGAATGCATGAATTAATTGAGAAACGCGGTAGTAATTGATAACTTTAATATTCTGTAGTGCTAGTACATAGATATAGATATAAGAATTAGATGATGGTGTAGTCATTATGTTTAAAAAATAACATGCATGTTAGATCGAAGTACGCGCAGTGATCGCGATATTCTGTGTTGGCCGCGATCATCATACATGTGCATGTTTTTTTAGTGAAAAATAATTAATGTCACAGTCGATATTTCTATAATATTATACGCATGAATTAATTGAAAACACGGTAGTAATTTATAACTTTAATATTGTGTAGTGCTAATACATAGATATAGATATACGAGATAGTAGATAGTGTAGTTATTATGTTTAAAAAATAACATATGAATGTTAGATCGAAGTATGCGCAGTGGTCGTGATATTCTGTGTTGGCCGCGATCACCATACATTTGCATGTTTTTGTAGTGTAAAATAGTTAATGTCGATGTTTCTATAATATTGAATGCATGAATTAATCGAGAAACGCGGTAATTGATAACTTTAATATTGTGTAGTGCTAATACATAGATATCACGTATGTAGTTGAGCAATTAATATTTCAATTGTTATTTATATATTGAACGCGCGAATTAATTTGACAGATGCAATAGTAATTGCATAGCCTTAATACGTATAACATATTACATGTACAGTCAATAGCTAATACTGTGGTTAGGCCTATATGTGCATGAATTAATCGAAATGCACAATAATAATAATTGGCAGTGCAATCGCAATCTTCTGTCACGATTACTGTTTAATTGTTATATAGATTAAAAATATAAAATAGAGCTGTGACAGTAGTTATATAGTAAAAGTTGCAATTGAGTTGTCACATTTAGAAGCATGAATTAATTAAATATAATAAAATAAACAATTGAGATCTTCGGTAGTAGTAGTAATTAACAGTAGTAACAGTAGTTAATACTATGATTGCAACGGGCATTATTATTTACATATTTAAACTTTATTATTTATTTTGAATAAAAAAGATTATAAATTAATTAGGATAAAAATATATATACGTATAATTGTGTAATACCAACTGACATTTATACTTGTTTCTATTAATGCAGATTAATTTTAATCTCGGTTTAATTTATTTTTTATCTTTGTCTCATTTTCACAACTAGAAAAAGATAAAAAGTAAGTTAAACCGAGATTAAAATTAATCTATATTGGTGAAAATAAACGTTACTGTATACATTACAGTGTTTATAATAAAAAAAATTCACTGAGATAAATAATATAAATCAAATTCTCGCATTTATGTGACTTTTTTTTATTTATTCAAAATTTCGTGAGTGCGAATTTACCATGACCACAAGTAATCCACGGATGTATCGCGCGCAGTTTCGCGTTAGAAAGCCGTTATTGTAAAATTTCTTTGCGTTGCAAGTTCGTTCGCGTTTTCCCCACGGTATAAAGTATATTGCGCGTGCAAATTGCTATTTTGGAAGTAACGCATTGATTATGCGCGCGAGATCGCGATTTGCCGCGTTCCCGCACAATTCACGCTTGCGAGGTATGCCGGACAGCAGTGAGTGGATAAACGGCCGACCCGCCATGGCGAATTAATTAAGGTGAGTAACACTAATTAGCCGCTACCGCCCGACATTCGAGTAAATTTGTGAAATTCAGTCATATCGATTCAAAATCATACCGTCTAGCGTTATTAGTCGAAAATGAACGACGGTGTAATAATGGGCGATCGTTATGGCGTGTTAATTGGCGCGCGCATAATTAACCGCATTTTCTCGGTCGCATAATGTTCATACAGTTCAATTCCGGTTTGCATCGAGGTCGCCGATGTCAATCGGGGAATAATGTTTACATAATTTCTGCCGTATATTGATTACGAGGGCACGCATTTTTTATTAATAATATATAATGATTGATTTTATACGTCATTTATACTTAATTTATAATATATAATGATTGATTTTGTACGTAGTTTACGTATAATTTATCACAAGTAATCACAAGTAATATTATAAAATATTTTTGTAGAAAATTACGTATAAAAAATATAATAAAGAAATAATTTCGTTTGTTCTCATTTCAGATATATATAATCTCCGAACAATTTTACTAATACGCTGCAGAATATCATTGCAGTCCATCAACCTCGAATGTATCAAAGATGAAACGCCGTGATACGAAAGGGTTCATCAATGTGCGCGATTGCAATTAAATGCGGTTTCCACTCGTATCCACATGACTTGATGGACTTGAGGCTAGAACGTTTCAGGCAGAAATTAACACCGATGGAACAGCTGATGGTGGGGAGTTGTTGCGGTGGCGTTACATTTTCGGTGAATAAATTTATTTATTTTATTATTTGCGGGGGAGTCGGAGTATTGTTCGACGAAATTGCGATATTTCACTACCCAGAATGTAATCCGGTTTACAAAAGCCGCAAAGCCTGTAAATCAAAATTAATGAAACGAACAAAATAAAAGCCTCTGGCATTTATTTAAATTCGTCTGGATGAATAATAAAGTGGATGCAGAAATACAAAAAAGCCCGGATAGTTTGGTCCCCGATAGAGACAATGAAAAGACGTGACAAGTATAATTTTCTTTATTTCATTACCAACAGTATTCTTACATGCCGAAACAATGTATAGTATCTATATCGTAATATATTTATGTAATTGTTTAATAATTATAGTAGCGTTGAAGAGTCTGTAGTATAGGCGAGTTTTGTAGACGTGTGAATAATTTTTGCGTCGACAATTCGAATTCGCTTCTGGATGCATCGCTGGTTGCAAACTCGCGGCTTACTACGCGGTTTGCCGCAGCGTTAGCAAATTTACCCCTGAAGTTTCGATGCAGCGAATTTTAACGGTTACTTTGACCAATTATGCCCTTAATTGCAACAAACATTCCACGTTCAACGTATTAACCGCCAGTCACACGATGATATAAAGTAATTTTATCCGTTCGATTCCACTGGATTAAATTAAATGTGTGTGTGTGTGTGTATGTATGCCAAATATTTTGATATTAAGAGGGAAATCGATTTAATTAAAATTTGTTCTTGATGCCTTGATATACGCTGTTTACACTTTTATAGATTATTACACACTCTCTAAATTAATTATCCTTAATCATACAGTCTGTTTAATGTTTGATTTCGCGAAAGTAAGTAAGTAAGCACGACATTAGATCGTCGGGTGATAAACTACACACTCGTGTGATTAGTGGTCGTGAACTTTATTGCGTAGTGTGCCTAGATTGTCGTCTCGCCGGAAACGAATTCGGATCTATCGATATCTTTCCTTAAGTCTCCTTCGATCGCGTTACTCTTTGTGCCATAAGTTTCCTTCTACTTCGAGGCATAGCGACTACCGATACTACGACGAGAAAACAATTCCTTTTGCCATCACGGGGGAGACCCGATTAGTTCGGAGAGTCCCCGATTAATAACGTTTCGGACAGCGCGGAACGGCGCCAAGTTTTTCGCGACCGCTCTTTTCTCCTACGGATCTCGTTCCTCTGAATCTTTTCTGGAACTACTTCCAAACAATTCCTTACGGACGCTTTATCCCCCCGAAACGAACATCTCGTTCCTCCGAGCTTGTGCTCGTATAAGCACAGGCGTTCAATCGACGTATACAACGTTTGTCAAGATTTACGAGTTCTTTATTAAAGTTATAAGAATGGAGACGAAGATGTCAAACGGAGGAGTACGAAAAATAGAACGATAACTTGATTCCTTTCCAAATAATTGGACGAGATATAATCGTCGCCGAGATTAGCCCGGCGAGCGCGAAGAATCGGAACACACGGAATATTAGGAGTTTTCCCTACGAAAGTTCGTCAGGAAAGCTTGGTCGGAATTAGACGGCGGTGTCGATTATCTAGGCGAGCGTGACACTACAGAAGAAATCACAGAAAAGAATGTTCGATCGAGAATGATCGCGGCGAGTCACGCCCCGTTTTGGCGCGGCGATACCGTCGCGTATTCGGCGGCGTGCGATTTCCGCGGCGCGATTTCCGCGCTGTCCGCTTCGCGTGCGCGGTTTAGTAGTGTTTACTACTTCCTCAGCAATGATATGCATAGAAGAGCGAGGCGGGAAGCCAGAGCAAGCTGGATCCGTAGAGTCGCGTCGCCGCATCGACCCCGTTTCTGCCGGGCCGTTTGCGCTTCGATTTCGACTTGGCGCGTCGTTTGCGGGAATAGATCGCATTGGTGGCGTTGGTGGGCGACTCGATATTGCAGTAGCTCAGGTCGCAGCAACTTATGCAAATCTGAAACGAAATAACCGAATTTATTTCACCCGGTTCCGTCGGTATTTCTCTCATTTGTGCTTCTGTTATTTTATTTTATGTTTTTTTTTTCGCTTTCGTTTTCTCTGATCTTTTATTGTCTTTTGCCTCGCTTGAATTGTTTCGAGAAACCTCCCTCCGGGTACACGACAAAATTCGCTATTTCGCACCTGCTGCGTGTCCACGGGAATGCAACCGACCGACGCTGGCCCGCATTCCTCGCTGCTGGCGCAACTCTTGCTTACCTGGAACGGAAGGAAGCGGAGGTAACGCGTGAAATGAACGCGACGACAAAGATTCTACAAACGTTTGAAATTTTCCGGAATCGCGACCGGGGGCAATGATCAATTCAATCTGCATCGCGAAGAATATAATTGTACAAATATTTTTGAAATAAGAAAAAACAGCGCAAAGCAAAATTCTTATCTATAACTTTAATGCCCTCTCATATTGTTAATTTCTAATTGGAAAGTTGGGAGTAACTTATTAACTAGATAGTTAGTTTTGTCGGTAATGCGGGACATTAGATTATCCGCGCATTATTGTCGTCAAGCGTCGGAGCGTGGAAAGTTTCCATCAAAGTTCATCCGCTGGTACATCGACTGGACTCGAGAAGCGCTTAAGCTCGAGAGGGCAATCCATCTCGACGTCCATGTTCGAATCCGTTCTCGTAACTTCATTCATTAATAGCCCGAAAATCGATTATCTCCCTAATGTAAGTCAATTAGCCACATACAATAACCTTTAATTGATTTTATTTGACCGTGCGTGTACTACGGGCTGGGCGATAATGCAATTTACTTCGATCGTGAGACTCAATTTGTTATTGTCGGGTTCGCGTTTTTTCTCCCCCCGCCGCCCCCTCAATATTATCGTTGCGGTCTCGTCTCGTTTCGAAAACATGATTGTCTCTGACAAGATAGCGCTCGCAACCGACACTCTCCCATATTCGCTAAGATTGCAAATAACAAAATATACATAAGAAAATATATATATGAAAAATATTTTTGCATAGCATATTGAATTTTAGCAAGCAAGTTGGAAAAAAAATCTGTTATGCATGAAAAATACATGAAAAATAGATCTTTTATCATCGTGCAACGTTATTTAAAATATTTTTCCTGTATTTTATCGCAGCCCCTGCGATATTCAGCTTTGGAATGAAATATGTCGAGTTAAGGGCGAAGGATTGTCATCTAGGCCCTAGTCCACAGATAAGAACATATAAAAATATAGATATTTTTTTATACTTGTACATACACATATACATATATAGACTACTCGATGATGTACTAAAAATTTATGAATATCGGAAAGAGAAGTTACAAGCGGCGGGGTCCTTGCACGCGCAAGTGGAGCAAATAAAAAAAGAAGTATGCTTACCAAGACACTGTTCCCCCGGCTGTCCAGAATGTGCAGCGATCGACAAAAATCACGGCCTCCCACCGGACACGGTGTGTCTATCGCCCATTCGTTGCACATCTGCAAGAATAGAAATAGCAGCATTCGCTATGCGAGATCTCCATATAAAGATCAGAGTCCTAGTATATTGCCAATATCGACCACATATTTCTCGATACACGAGAGAGCCGAAGAAAAAAGCACAAAGTACGAAAGCTTTATTGTCGTGGCATTTATACATAGAAAATGTAAAGAATAAATGTAAATATATTATAATAGAACTGAAAACATATGAAACAAAATGTTTATTGTTTTCGAATATGTTTAGCTATTAGATATTAATATTCTTGTTAATTGAAAAGAATAAATTAGTATATATATGAAGAACTATCTTACATTATACATATATGTATTGCTCTTATCCTTTTCTAAAAATTCTGTCGATATTCCGCAAGTATTTGCAAATTAATGGCTGATACGATAATCTGCTGTACATTTCTGCAAAGAAAAAGACTAAAAGCGGGAAGGGGATTGGAGATAAGACCGTTACTGCGAAAGGAATGAAGAGAAATGCAATAAGGGGAGTTTAGAATAAACCGAAATCGATGGCGGAACGATCTACAGGAGTTCTACAAAATTGCGGTTGGATCAGGCACGGTAGAGTCATTATAGGACTCTTAAGGGAACGTTTAATGGAGCCGTCGATACCTGATTATCGCTGACGTTGACGCAAGTGTAGCACGTTAGACCTGCAACAGAAAGAGCACCGTGCTGAGTAACCGCGTCAACTGGGACAATCGAGACGTGGGACGGGGGAGGCGAAGACGCGAAAGCGTTAACTCTTAATTGCACCGCGTCGCGTCGTGCCGTCGAGAGATACGGAAATTCTATTTGGAGAGAAAGAAAATTAAAGGGAAACATACATTCGGGGATTAAACGAGTTTAGCCGTCTAGACGTCCAAAAGTTAACAACGAGCCAAGCCACTAAGTTTAAACAAGCCGACTCTCTCTCTGCCAGAAAAGGACTTCGCGGGAACGACTTTGCCGGAACGAAACAATGCGTCTTATGGCAGAAGCTAAATTTGTTAATGCAAAGTTACGGCAGTGATTTCACCGTAGCGAACCGGGGGAGAAGAGCTTTCACGATCGCGAACGCGCGTTGTACACGACGAGTACCGGGGCAGGGTGTCATTGACAGGAAGGGTTGCGGTACATGTGCGAGGAGAGAGTTGCTGGAAAGGATAAGCGGTAGTTCGGAGATTAGTGGCGTTCGATTGCAGGATCGGCGAGCTGGGATAAACTCGAGTTAGCTGAGTAAATCATGGTTTTCGTTTCGACTCTTTTCTCTTCTCTTTCTCTCTCTCTCTCTTTCTCTCCCCCTTTCGTACTCCTCTTCTTCGTACTAGCTCTCTATCTATTTTCTACCGAACGTTTCCGTTCATTTTTCGACGGTTCGGCGGCCGATACCCACGATAGATGTCTTCCTCGTCCGCGCTGACGCCCTTCAGGCCCTCCCGCCGCTTCGTCGTCTCTTCCTTTCCGTTTCCGTTTCCGTTTCCGGAGAGGACGTTTCTGCCGCAAGTTTCCGCAGCCAGAAGCAGCCCGACCATCATCCACGTGATCATTCCTCACATCTCTGGAACGACAGAAATGGGGTCGCGCGTTACTTACATAAGTGACCTCAAACAGGACATTAGAGAACGCCAATTACTCGGCGGGCGAGGAGCATTAGGACCACCGACTATCTTCGGGGGGGGGGGAGGGTGGAAGGTGGAAAAGCGACTGGACGCGAATTTTAATTCTGATCGATCGTGCCGCGACGCGAGAATCGCGTCCCTCGGGGCGAAGAGGTGGTGAAGTGGCTCTGCAGTCGCGAATGTTCGCATTCTCGCCGCGCATTTTGGCGTGAAATGTGGCTGTCTGATTCCTCCTCTTCCCTCTCACGCTGACATTGCACATGATCTTTAGATATATCAAACGAACAAAGCTGGCGATTAAATAGAGACTAGAGGCAAGAATATAAAGTGTGAGTTTTGAACAATACGTTAATAAATAATAACTTTTTCTTATTCCTTTAAAACTATTTTGATATTATATTTTGATTATTATATATTTTTATAAATCGCGTGCTCTGCAATTTTTAATTTCAACGCGTTCCGAGGCTAAGCTTACGTGAAAATCGTGAAAACGTGCTCTTCGGTGAGGAAGCCCTGTCGGGGACAGTGAACTCGATATTCGGATTAGGAATTACGGGAGGAATTGCGGGGGACGTAACGTCGACATCGAATGTGGCCGATTTAAAGCGTCGTCGTCTCGTCGACAGGCGGGTGCAGCGGCTGCCGTTTGCGTATGTGCCGTCTACCAGCGGATAGTCTGTCTCGGGTGGATGTACATATACATACCGGTACCGGGGGATGTCGATCAGAACCCGATTCTGGGACACGGGTGACCTATCGGCCGACGTCAGTTCCGTGCGTCGTATTAGGGTCTCGACGAGTCAATGGATCGAATGTTGGACCTTTCGAGGTAGATAAGGTCGTGTCGTGGCTTTCCTCCCGAGGGCACGGGGGAGTGAGAAGGGGGAGAGTGGGGGGGGCGAACCTGCCGCAAGAAACGCTTTCGCGATGACAGGCACCCTCTAATCGAAGTAATTAATTCTGAACTGCATGATCAGGGTCTGACAACCACTTTCCAATTCCAACGTAATCAGCGAACTTCGCGAAACCGATTATTATTTTTTGCTATATGAACTATCGAGATAGGATTCCATAACGATGCTTTAGTTTATTGCTACAGTATAGTCTGTCACCACCCTATCATTCTTCTTTATATATATCATGTATATAGCGGCGAGCAAAGTTATACTTTACATGTAATAATGTATATTAATACAATATGATTTAAATACCTCTGCAAAGAGATTAAATACACATTTAAATACGATTAATGAAAGCAGATTGCGGCTTTTTCGGTTAGTAGAAACACTTTGAAAATGATAATAATTACGTTTCGCAAGAGATATCACAAAACATGAAACCTACGGCATCAACTTCTATTGACACTGTACAATTATTGCCAGTTTGTGCCATCTCGAGTTTTGATCGCGCGTTTTATCGCTTGAATTTAAATTCATTCTTGCAAGAGGGCTTATGTCTCACGTTCTCTTGGCCTGCTGATGTTCCCATATCCTTGCTACCTTCTACTTTTGAATACTCTCGAGTTTGAACTCTCTTAACGGAGTTGTTAATTATACACTTACTAACTTTGCTTTTATCCGTGCTCCACTTATTCGTGAAGTTTTGGTGTGCTCGACGATGTATATAATGCACTGGTATTTTTCTTCCTTCTTTGTTTCGCGACACCATGGATGAGATATAACTTTGTGGCAAAATGGCGTTTTTTATGTGTATCGTTCCGAAAGAGCCCGCCGCCGGAGTTTATCTTTTCGACATTTTCCTTCGCTTCGTTTTAATTAGTTCGAGTAGCTCATGGAAAATTGTGCAAAATGTACAAGGTGGATGTGAAGACTTCGTGCAATATGCAATACACTTGATTCATTTAAGCAGTACACTTTAATTAGGAATCATAAACTATCCAACATCTCGTTTGCTGAAAGTAATATACCGTTGAAATAATGAGAGATTTATGTTTGCTTTAAACGGCGCGTTTCAAACTCGTTGCTCGATCCCTCTACTGCAGCTCAAATCTCGAAGTTTAATTATTCAGAATGGACGGAAGTGAGTGATTTTACCGGGGATCCTTTGACGCCATAATTTGAATACAGCTCTAGTAAATATGTACGGACTCGTTGGTTGATGCATTTCTGCGCATCGCCCTGCGAATTCTTCCGTAAGTTTCCCCCCCTCCCTCACCCCCCCTTTCCGTTTATGCAAAATAACCATGCATCAAGATAAGAAAACCATTTTATGTAAAATGGCTCGCGCGCGGAAATACACGTCACGAAACACCTGTCGCGCGCGCTAAAACTTTTTCGCGAGCTTGGCACACAGCACCAGGAGGGGGGAGGGGGGGTTGGAGGGAAGGAGTGACAAAGCCCTGCCATTTATTGGCCACGTCTGACAATGCGAATACCTTTCCTCTCTTATATCGACATACAATGGTATTGTGCCGTCTGATATATATCGGCCATATTTTCATGGTCGTGATTCACGGGGGCTTTAAAAGCGAGATACCGTTTAGGATTAGAATAATTAGCTCCATTCGTAAATGAATTGTGCCCGTGGAGTCTCCTATATCGATCGAATTGCTGATTATCGTGCGCTAATAATTTCAGTTAGGCCCGTAAACGGGACGTTGATCGAGTAGTTATGTATATACTGCCGCGTGCGCGCGCGCTATGTGCGTGTCTGCATGGGTTTTGATCGGGCATAAATGCATTTGGGGTATCGGATTACGAAGGAAGCCCTATCAATTCGAGAAAGCGCCAGCTTCCATTCTACGCGTACCGGGAAGTTCCGAACGGGGCTTAAAACTCGTATAATACCCGCGCATTATAAAGCCATGCACAATAAATTATCGGGGAATAAATAAATCGGAAGCGAGGAATAAATAAAAGCGCGATTGTGTTAATCCCGTTACACGGTTACGCCCATTGACTTCCAAGCTGTCGAACAAATCCCCCATCGAACCATCATCGCGTTGTGTTTAATTATACCGGTGAAACCAATTAAAATAGATCAATCGACGAAATGACGTTTCATCTCATCTCGCGCGAAAGCTATTGACGCGACGTGGGGAAAACTTTTTTTTTTCGTAAAAACAAATGCCAATTTAATTTCGCATCAATCAGGATGGCTCCCACGTTCTCGAAACTCTGATTAGCTTAAAGGGGAACTATTTTTCCAAGAGATAATTTTCATGAGGACGCTTTTTCGAGAAAAACAATCGAAAATTCTCTCTACGAATAGAACGCAGTTGAAAAGTCTGAATAAAGTTAATTTACAATTTTAACAATAATTAACATTTTAAAAGCAATTTGTAGCGTAAATTCAACGGTCAAAAGTGTTACGTGCATCCGGGATTATAATTTTCGATGATTTCCATGTTAAAATTTCCAGATAATGTCAAAATGAGTTTACGTGAAGCTTTCCATTTTCGGAAAATGTGTAGTTGTAGTTGAAATTATTTCAGAGTGAAAACATATTTAATTTCTATCAAAATTACCTAAATAAAACATTCTTTTTCACGCAAAACGGACATGTCCAATATAATAGCGTAATATGCGAGAAAACGAATGGGCGGTTTCAATTAGCGCTGAATAAATGTAGCGCCGGATAAAGTTTTGCATGCAAGAAACACGAAAGGACGGGAACCGGACGAAAACGTAATTACCGCGCCGATAATATGTATGCGCGCAAGAACGGTATTTAAATTATTCACCGATTTAAGCGCGACAAGCAAAGCCGCTTGGATACGCGATCGGATTTTCTGATTACCAGACCGAACTAAAGTTATATCCCCCCGCGCTTTCTCTGTTAACGTTAGGGTAATAGCCGGCGCACATTTTCGGTGTGTTTTCCAAATATTCGCGGAGCAACGGATCTGAATAATCGTGTGTCGCACGTCCAAAGTCCCGTTTGCTGCAGCCTCGGATGTGCGCGGGGCGGAATAGGCTCAACCGGGATGAATAGATTCACGCCGTGCCGCGCAAACGCGCCGCAAATTGAAGAAAAACAGATCGATAGTAATCTAGTGTTAAATTTCGTGCCCTTTTAACGCGTTATATAATATTATCTTAGGTGTACGTGCGTTTTGTGCCAAACAGAGCGAGCACGTTAATTGCACGTGATATTCGGGAGATCCTCTTTAATCCGAAAGCGTCACAAAACCGAGTCAATTTCCATACGTATAAGTTTCGATGCCGAGCGTAGTCCTTGACACATTTTATACATATATGTATACACGTAAATATCCGACGGCAGATAACGTGTGACTTTATTACACGTACACGTGTCACTGATACACAATTTACCTTTCGCCAATGTTTATTTATCTTTATCTTTATACATCTGTTTAGGACGGCAACTCGACGTCGAGTGGACTCCCGACGCGGACCGGCAAAGGCCAAAGGCGGTAAGTCACAAAGTATGTTTGCATGTTGGTATACTGGCGAATATTTCGCACCAGCGCGCCCGCGCGCTTCACAGCGAATTCGTCGTCAAAGCGCCTCGAATCCATTGTTTATCCGCGCGCGTGCGGCTTTTCTCTCTTTTTGCGAAAACGACTGTTGCGATTTAGCGACTTTTCGAGAGAATACGACGTTCCGGGGTCGAGAGTCGACCGGATTTCTCTTGTTATTTATTCGATGAGAGTTGGAGACGTTTCGCCGAGTTTCGTGGTAATCCCGGGGCTGTATCGCGCGCACGGAGGCGCGCTCGGAGACGAGGGCGAAGACGAGGGCGAAACGAGAGTGGAACGAGGGTTAAAGCGCAGGGAAGGGTTGGACCCGGACTGGCGAATGCTGGTACAGTGGTCGCGATAAACATAATATATTTCCGACCGTGAGAGATATATACCGGAGAAACTATGATATGCTTACTGAGCGGAAACATACGAATTGCATAAATTGTCCCTAATGAAGGGGAAACAAACTTTACGTCTTTCTTAAAATATTAT